TCTGTGATTCTGTGATTCTGTGAATTTCAAATATTATAGAAGGCGGACTTGAGACTATAATATGACAAATTACTATTATTTTTCATGCTTAATTTCATTAGTTAAAACTTTTTTGGAAGACAATTGATAAGGTCAGAAAATGAAATTTACTAGATGTGATTACTTGAGGAATTCAGTATTCTTTAGAGATACAGTATTATAAATGGCTACATTTAGCTTTTTTCCTGTTTTTCCCCATTATTTCTAATTATTTGTTGTACTTCAGTGAATATTTGTTTACCTTTAAATATATTAGGTTAATAAACTGAACTTAACAATGTGTTTTATGTCAACATCTGTCTGCTCAAATATACAGAGCTAATAAAAGCCTGTTTCAATTCCAACTGAATCAATTTAAATCATACTGTTTGTTAACAGGACGTAGGTATGGGTGACACAGCAATGACAGCTTTTCTTGGCTGCTGTTCAGATCTTCTGCAAACATTGCTAGAGGTAAATTTTTGCTCTTCCTGTAGAAACAAAAGAACTAATTGATTCAAATTTAATTTTAAAGAGTATGGTTATACTAATTTCTGTACTGTTCAGTTCAGAAAAATATTAATGAAATTCTAGACAATATGAAATTTTTTAACTTCACTCCAGAGAACTTGTGATTAAATCTGTGTCTTTTGCATAGAGGCCAATATCTGTGATATTTTGTGCGTGACTACTTTTCTGTGTTGCTCTGGCAGGCCGACGTTAGTAGCGATGAAATGCAGGCTCCTGTCTTAGATACTGAGGATGCTTGGCTGTCGGTAGAAGGACCAGTATCGATTGTGGAACTAGCTCTTGAGCAGAAGCGCATTCACTACCCGCTGGTTGAACACCAGTTTGTGTTATGTACTATCTTGTATGCCATCATGAGGTTTTCTCTGAAGAGTGTGAAGCCTCTTTCGCTGTTTGATAGCAAGGTATGTCTTTTGAAAATATACATCTTAATATTGCTATCCTTCCTCTTGGTATCTGTAATGTATGCACTCTTTAAACAGCTCATGCATCATTTTATGAAAGACATTTAGTCCACTGTGGTGCCTTAATGATGTTGTCACCAGAATTGAGGCTGAGACCCAAACTCGGTGCTTTTCCTTATGAGTAAAAGATTTGTAATGATCTCAGATGCTTGAAAGTCAGCTCCTTAATAATTAGCTGGCCTGAAAATACTGCATGGTAAGAAGACTGGATGACAGGTTTTTTCAGTTGCTTTGAGAAGTGCCAGATCACAGAAAACATAAATATTTAAGTCAGAAATGTTGTTAATATCACTGTTGTATCCATTATTGCTGATGATTATTGCGGAATTCTGAGCATCTCGAAGAGAACAAACAGCTTGTCATTTAATGCATATAAGCTACTTAAAAAAAAAAGTCACCACATTTAAAAGGCAGTACATCTCCAATCAGAGCTTGACCCTGATACAAAGCAGGTACCACAAACTGAGCTTTCCTCCTCCTAGCTTTACCACATTGCAATTAAACAAAAAAAATTAAACACAAAGTACT